GATCAAGCTGGCATTTAGAAAATAAGGTAGCAAAAAATATCCAATCAAAACAGCAAAAAGAAAAAAGAATCCAAAAAATTGAGGAGAGCTTAAGGGTCCTCTGGGACAACATCAAGCATACCAATATTCGCATCATAGGTTGATGATTGAAAACTTCCCTAACCTGGTGAAAGAAATAGACATATAAGCCCAGGGATCACAGAAAAATCTGACACACAATGAACCCAAAGTGGTTCACACCATAAGACACACCATAATTAAAATGCCAAAGGTTAAAGACAAGGAAAGAATCATAAAAGCAGCAAAAGAAAAGCAGGTAGTTACCTATAAGGGAGCTTCCATAAGACTGTCAACTGATTTCTCAACAGAAACTTTGCAGGCCAGAAGGGATTGGCAGGAAATATTCAAAGTGATGAGAAGCAAAGACCTACAACAAAGACTATTCTGCCCAGCAAGGCTATCAGAATTGAAGGACAGATAAAGAGCTTCCCAGACAAGAAAAAGCTAAAAGAGTTCATCATCACCAAACTAGGAATGTTAGAAGGATTTGTTTAAAAAAAAAAAAGAAAAAAGATAAAAAATATGAATAAAATGGCAATAACTACATATCTATCAACAATTACTTTCAATGTAAATGAATTCAATACTCCAATCAAAAGACACAGGGTGGCTGAATGGATCAGAAAACAAGACTCATACATATGCTTCCTACAAGAGACTCATTTCAAATCAAAGACATATAGAGACTGAAAGTAAAGGAATGGAAAAAGATATTTCATGAAAATGGAAACTAAAAAAACAGCTGGGATAGCAATACTTATACCAAACAAAATGTACTTTAAAACAAAGGCTATAACAAGAGACAAAAAGGATCCAGTAATCCCACTTCTGAGTATTTATCTGAAGAAACCCAAAACGCTACCTGGAAGGGACATATACATCCATATGTTCATTGTAGCATTATATACAATAGCCGAGATATGGAGGCAACCTGCATGTCCATCAATGGATGAATGGATAAAAAAGAGGTGGTACAGATAGGCAATGGAATATTACTCAGCCATAAAAAAGAATGAAATGTTGCCATCTGCAACAACATGAATAGACCTAGACGATATTGTGCTCAGTGGAGTAAGACAGAGAAAGACAAATGCCATATGATTTCACTAATATATGGACTCTAAAGAACAAGATAAATGAAAAACAAAACAAACTCATAAATATAGAGAACACATTGAGGATTACCAGATGGGAGGAGAGTTGGGATAGTGTGTGGAAAAGGTGAAGAGATTAAGAAATACAAATTAGTAGTTATAAAATAGTCAATAGAGGGATGTAAAGTATAGTATAAGGAATGTAGTCAGTAAGATTGTAATAACTGTGTATGGTGTCAGATGGGTACTAGATTTATCGGGTGATCACTGTGTAAGTTATATAAATGTCTAATATCATGTTGTACACCTGAGACTAATATAATATTGCATGTTGACTGTAATTGAGAAATGAAAAGTAATTTAAAAACAAAAAAAATCCACATGTTGTATGATTCCACTTATATGAAATGTCCAGAATAGGCAAATCCAGAGACAGAAAGTAGATTAGCAGTGTCAGGGGCTGGGGACAGGTGGGAATGGGAGAGACTGCTAATGGGTAAGGGATTTCTCCTAAAATTAGATAGTGGTGATGACTGCACATCCTTGTGAATATATTAAAATCTACTGAACTGCACACTGTGAAAGGGTAAGTTTTATAGTATGTGAATTATATCTTGATAATGCTGTTATAAAAAATTCATCAATTGAACAACATATTATTTCTTATTCATTGCATCAATTCAACAATATATTTCTTATCAGACTGGCAAATCTAATAGTCAGACAATATCAACTGTTATTGAGCATGTGGGAAAATGGAAGCTGCCAAACAGCTCGTGAGGGAGTGTAAATTGGTACAGCTGGCTTTAGCAATATCAAGTAAAACTGCAAACATTCTTACACTATGAGCCATCAACTTCTCTTCTAGGGAGATGTCCAAAAGAAACTATTATTAATAGTAGGAGTAGTTGTAGTAGTAGTTTCGGGTGTACAAAACTATGTAATAGTTATACATTTCACCCCTCACAAAGTGATAAGCCCCCTCC